AGCAGTTCCTGCTGCGATGTGCGGTTGTATTACATGTGTGTTTGTGTTATACTCATGTGGCAGGAATTGTCTATCATGACAGTTTAATGCTAATTATAATATACTCCTGATGTATAGAATATTAGGTATGCTAATAGTTATATAGATAAGCAAACACTGAAATCATCAACAGCCGTTGATAGTCCACTTTTGGACTCGTTTACATAAGAGGAGTTTAATCTTATATCTTCTTATACTATTATATAAAGCTGAAGAGTTTGTTTGTTTGAACGCGCAAATCTCAGAAACTGCTGGTCCGATTTGAAAAATTCTTTTTGTGTCGGATATTCCATTTATCGAGAAAGACTAAAAGCTATAAAACATTACGCGCAGACCGAGCAGAGCAGCGGGTGGAAGTAGCTAGTTATTTATATTTAGGCAACGAATTGATTGCGTGATGTTCCTCTCGTCGTGAGTTGGACAATATTGCTCATGATCATGAGCCCACAATAAGAGGGGTTTTGTAGTCGCTATAGGCTTGGAATTTGACGAGATTCCTTGAAGAGTAGAACTATGAGAGTAGTGATAAATGTACCTAATCTGCTGTCACCACACAACAAACATTGAAGGATATTACTTATTTCATTCAACAGGAATAAAGCACTACCTGAGCATCCAGCGCATTTATACAGGTTTATCTGTAACGTTCATTCGTTTAGTACCGTTCCAATACATACATGCAACAGTAATTCACGCTACCGACTAATTATACTTCACAGATTGTATTCAGAAGTCAAAAAACAAACTAACAAGCCGAAATTTGTGTTATTGGAGTACATCACTATTGTTTTGGTAGGATTTAATCAAAAGTTTAGCAGATAAATAGGAGCTCCGCACCGCCACCGCCCGCCGCCGCCCGCCACCGCCCGCCGCGCGCCGCAAACACGCTTACATCGTGAATGGAGCCAGACAAGTGGGTATTATAAACGTAAATTATGTAATTTGTTTGTATGAACTGGCTTGTATGTGCCGACTCACTGGTATAGCTGTCGACACACATCTCCCGGGAACCAGTGCCACACACACGCGCGTTATTCACACGGGTACTAAAGTGACTTCTCTATTATAGTGGATCTTTAATTTTCACTTTTCTTAACTCAGTTATAAGAAAGATTACTTTGAAAAAAACAACTTCCATATGATTTAAATACACCCACTTACTTAATTTTTCATAGCCTCGAGATATTTTAAGAATCTTTTTTTAACTTTCAAGACTCGACGTTTCACAATTTTTCCAAACTCCCCACGTACAGTACAAGTTATAATTGTTCCCAGAGACATAAAGTTTTATAAAGTCTAGTGAACTAATATATCACGAACAAAGACAAATACAATAAATATATTTTATTTGATTACACTTCGTGTCGACATGTTCTACGTATGAGCGGAACACTTTGTTTCAGTTTAATCAAAACTTCGTAAGACAAACATCAAAGCCCCGTCAAACAAATTATTTTATAAGGAAAGTGGTTCTGGTCATCATACATTTTTTTTGGTTACGGTTAATCGTTCAGGGTTAAACTAAATCCTGATTTTTATCACATATGATTCATTCATGTGCATAACTCACTATTTAAATATATACGTTTGTTTGAGATATATTCGAGACGTTTTCCTCATCTATAGAATTACATTTGACAACAATGTTGCAGTAAGTACCCACGTACAGTACCAGGTAGTCATGGCAATGCTCACGCTCCCCGGAGCTGCGAATTATATTGGTAGAGGTCCAAAACCGGATATAATTTACGAGCAGTAATTAATTTCACAAACAAAGAGAAATTTAAGTCGCACCATAAATATAAAGTATATTTTTACACGTCGTGATTTCCAAAATAATTTCCAATAAAATTAAATTTTATATTTACATAGCTATATACAAAACACAGGGCCATTACACTTTATTTGTTGTTGTTATAGTCACATTTTGCAGTTTACTTTATCATGGTTCTGATTTTAAAGTAATAATCAGCGTTGTAGTCGAACCAGTCGAGCACTTGTTTGTCATACCATATGTACGCTCCCTTGAGTGTATCAGGAGCATCTAGAACTAGATAGATGGGAGTGTCAGCTGCCTGGTCGATGTCGTAGAATCCAACTCCGCGGGTCATGTCAGTCTGCACCAGCCCCGGGTGCATGGAGTTCACTGAGATGTTCTTCGCTTCGAGCTCCTTCTGCTGCACCCTGGTAATCGCACTGAGCGCCACCTTCGCCACCCTGTACGAGGCAATAGTTCCACCATCAGCTATGTCCCCGTAGTCGAAGGTTCCATTCTTGACTCCATCCAAAAACCAATTAGCAAATTCGTTGACATCTTCCACTGTCAGATCTTTTTTGGACAATCTTTGTATCCAGTATTCGTTGCGAATGTTGGACAGATGTCCACAGTCACTAGAGATGTTGAGGATGCGTCCATTGTTCCTGACCAATGGAAACAACAGTTCTTGGATTGTCAGTATGCTGAAGTAGTTGATGTCCACGACAGTTTTTGATGCTTCGTAGGTACGGTCTTCGATGTTGGCGACGGCTGCGTTATTGACGAGTATGTCGATGCCTCCATACTTCTTTTCGATGTGGTCTCTAAACTTGGTCACGCTGTCCCTATCGGTAACATCGAGCTGATGGTACTGGGGACGTAGGCCGAGCGCGTTCAGCTTGGCGACTGCATCTTGCCCTCGAGCGACATCTCTTGAAGTTAAATAGACCACGCCATCGAACCTCTTTAGGAGGCCCTTGACTATAGCGAAGCCGATCCCTTTGTTAGAACCGGTGACCACGGCTACCTTCACCATATCTGTCCCGAGCGGTGTTTCTCTGTGAAATGAGGAATTATATCAACTGTTGTATAATAGTTATAATAGTTATTTAAAGCGAGATAACGCAAAATAATTTGTATCATCATTATCCGCCACGCTCAGTGAACTCCGATAAGTTTATCTACGACACTTATCATCCGGTGATGGGTTAAATAAACTGTTTGTGCAAACTATTCTATTTTTCACATAGCATTATCTCATTATAGCAATTTATTGTTTATGTAACACTCACCTGTGTTAATAAAAAACTGAAGGTTGCAGGACACCACACTTGACTGCGCACGTAACCTTACTAACAAAAAATCAACTAGTCATGCAGTAATTGCTCAGTACTCTGTACAGTTACATACAAATAATTAATGTTTTTATTGTAAACGTGAGGTAATTATTTGCTTATCTATTGTCAGGCATCATGGTCTCTGATAATAGTTACGATAGACGCTCTGTCACAGCATTCGTTATAAATAGCTTTCGATGTAATTACAAATGGCTGGCTATAAAATTAGGCTAGTTTGTATGCACACAACTTTATAATGAAGTACCGATAAACTGTTAATGTTAACTCAGTGTTGCCAGTATTAACAAGCGTACTTATCGGTCGCTACAAAATTGAAATGTTTATTTTTGATGTAAAACTATTGACTGGTGTAATTAATCGGCTGTGGTCATTTGTAAAATCAAAAAAGAGAACGAGTTAATTATTTTCAACAGTACTTCTATTTGTTGAAAAAGTTTTTGCATTTCTGACGTGATATTCTGGTTCAGTTCCACACAGAATGTTATAGTGCAGATTCTATGTTGTCTCTAGTGAGTTAATACTTAGGCTGCTAGGAGTGCTGCGCAAGATCGCCGCGGCCGCACACGCTGCTCATGAGGAATAGCCCCTCTGTAGTTCGAAACTAGTAGAGCGATTTTTAGTATATTCACGTGAGTAAGCCGCGATTTTTAGTTAATTTAATACTTAGCAGTTAGTTTTACTTAATGAAACTTTATTTAATTATTATTTCAATTCGAATTTTTCTTGTTTGTTAGTAAATGTAGAAACGTGTCATTGTTTCCGCAAATAATGGTAAAAAATAATTTTCGTCGTAAGAAATAATTTAATTGTACGAAATGGACAATTGTTTTCATCGTAAGCCAAAGCGGCCTTAACAAATAAATACTGAAACAGTACATTTGTTTCAGTAAACAAATACGTTTATCTCATTTCAAATAATCTCTTACGACTAGCGAAGTCATGGAGTCGTTGTTCGTACTTCATGAATTTATTATGTAAGTATCTAATATAAAACATTAGTCTACATTTTTGAAATTAGATTTTTTGTTTCTTTACAACAAAATTCTTCATAATATTTTGTAGATGAATATTTTACTGGTTTACTAATGGATTTTATGCAAAGGAGAGGCTTTAGACCCCACGGCGTTTTCCCGGGAGAGGGTAGCGAAAGAGATAGTTCATAGATCATCAACATCATCTTGATTATCAGTTACTAAATGACCACAACAACGAGCAAGCGTGGTGATTAATGTTCAAACTTTATCCGAGTGAGAAGAGGCTTTGCTCAGCAGTGGGCACTTAACGGCTGGCGATGATGCTGATGATATGATATGACAACTGGTGAACATGGTGTCCACCAGGACTTACTAATCAAACTCAAAAAAACGTAAATCTTGACCTTCTTTCACATAATTTCATTATACCTAATGTATCAGTAACGTACTTGAACAGAGTCTATCTAATAATATTGTAACAAGAGAACAACAAAGAGAAACATATTGTGACGTCACACTTGACAGTTGACATCTGTCAGGCGTGTCACTACGGCGGCCATATTTATTTCCGTGTGCACAGTAAGCGGGATTATCTATCGGCAAGCGGCAAGTACCTAACTGGGAACAATCCCGCGGTCTCCGAGGTGCCGAAGTAAATAGAGATGTGCGGTTGACCTAAATCCCGAATAGTCGCGTTAGCTAATGATGTGAAAGTAATTACTAAGATTATGTTTTTGTTATGTTGTGTTTGTACTCATTTCTGTTCATAAATATGTTGCCTCATTGGCCCAACTGGCACAAACGAAGGAGCACTTAAGATATGTGCGAATGGTAAAGGAAGATTTACCTACCACTGAACATTAACTAATTCGCATGAGAACAAGTGAGAACAAATCACAGCATGCATACAACATCAGCGCGGCGTCTGTTGCAGGCTGCTGTAAACTGTCACTGGATATTTTTGTTCCATTGTTTTGGACAGCTGCCAGGCGACGAGGGGAACCAGGACTCATGAGCTTATACCACACAACTGTTTGTCTTCTATTATATATATTTATTAGACTTGAGTGTCGTCCATTGTGTAGGCAGCATTAGTGCCTAGGTTTTGTGTTTCCTTGTTGACTGTAGACTTGGACAGTGTGCACATCTTACGTCCCTCTGCAGGTTCCTTTAGAATTAGCTTTCTAAGGCTTTAACTAGTTTTCTAAGCACCTATGTAAATAACAAAACCTAAGAACAACGTACAAGTCGAGTTACCTGACGATTTTCTACTTTGGCGTCTTTAAATTAGCACAAAAAGGTTGTGTCAACGTTGTGATAGTGGAACCTATATCTTTCCAACTTTTGCCTCTACCTAACAACTTGATTAAAAAGTATAAAATTATTTTGTTTATTTTAATCACAAAATGACAGTCATGACTTGCACGGATAGGTATAATAAATAATCATATTGTTTACATTTACCAAAGTATTGACTGTGGACATATTTTTTTTAACATTCGCGATAACATTTGTTTGGGATCAAGTCTTGCTGTTTCATGTTTACAATAAACAGTCGGGTAATAAGTTATTGACAATTTGCTGGAGAAGAAAACCTGTATATTTCATTCATAACTAAACAACTACTAGGGCCTTACAGTTTGTTGACCTGGTGCCAAACCACAGTGTCCCCCTGGCCCGGGGCCAACCGGCGCGACCGGCCTGCTAGTACTACACTCACTGGGTAAATGCAAAAGGTTGATTCACGATTCTTACGTGCTTTGTGATAGTTTTGGGAACCTATCATACCCGGTAACACGAAAATGTAAGAACTTTCGTGAGATATACTAAATAAATTATTATGTTTTCGGCTTACTCACGTAATAATTTGACGAGGAACTCGACTAGTTTCAAGCCATGCTAGAGGCTCATATTCATGAGTAGCATTTCACGACCCGCGACGCGGCGACTGTCGCGCTGCTACTGGTCAAATTATTACGTGAGTAAGCCGAAAACATAATAATTTATAAAATGTAAGAAAATGTAAACTACAAGAGCATCTATCAATACCTCCACTGTAGACTTAAACTCATATTACGGCTGTGTACACTTCAATGCATTACAATCTGCCAAACTTAAACTGTTTATTTTATCAGTTTGCTGAAAATCTGTCAAAGTGTTTCTAGTTGGAAAAGGTCAATGTGTTGTCTGCATCTGGTTTAATAACCGATATCGTTGTTGAACATTTTATTGGTGACTTTGGTGGCGAGACATTGACAATACCGTCTAGTGTTTGCGTAAAAGAATGCCATATTAAATAGTGTATGCCTAATGGGCAGCTTTTTGCGCTACTATAATAATAATTTTAAGACCCTTTTGTATCACCAAAAAGCACACGAATAAATACTTTGACTTTGACTTGTATATTACGCTGATCTATAAACATGTAGCAGTTGTGAGTATGAATGAAATGACTGACGCTTTGGCCGATTGGTCGCAAGTGCTACTACCGAGCAAGGGGTCTCGGGTTCGATTCCCGGTTTGATGATTTTTAAAAATCTCCATAGTAGCAGGGAGTCTGGAAATGTCCCGGTATATGGCAATAGGCTCACCCCCTATTACATGGAGCTCATTACATAAATAGTGAAAAGTGGGTGTTACATTGGCATTAACTGCCATAATGTGCATCTCTGTCTACCTCTTCGGGGATAAAGAGCGTGATGTTATGTTCTGTGTAGTTGTGAGTAGTCCTTCTGCTAGCTGATGGTGTGTGGTCATCTTTTAATTAAATCCTCTCAATTGACGGCGCGTCGATTGTTTTAATATTCGCCTTCGCAAGTTTTCGCGGCCGTTACGTTTTATTGAAGCAGTTGGCGGCTTTTTTCAGCGGTATTATGGCGGTTATATTCAGATATTCAGTGTTAGCACAAATGGACAACTTATTCAACTCACAATGAGAGCTCTTTGTTATAAAAACTGTAAGTACATTTGCATTTTAAAAGCTTGCGAATGTCTGTTTGTTTCTACGATTTTGTTATTTAAGAAAATATGAAGCGTCGGCTGTTGATATTAAATGTTTAATAATATTTTACTGCGAAGTAGGTACACAATAGAAGTATCTCCTGGAAGCAAAACTCTCGTGAAATCTGATTGTTATAAAATTAATAAGCACATTGCAGGCTCCACTAACCTGTAAGTAAGCAGCCGCCACGGCCTGGTTGTGTCCCGTGCAGGCTGCACACACCTCGCGCTGATATTTCGCAAAGTGTGTCAATTCCGTAAAGTTGCTCGGAAGCGTGGAGGCGCCGGCTTTTACTAAATTTTAATAAAGCCGGCCACAAACGATGTTGTGTTCGACGTGACAACACTTTGTACACGCCACCGACCAACATACATAGTTTGTCACGCGACGCCGCCCGCCTAAATTTTAACCGGCAATGCTCTAACCAGTAATTAACTTGTCATTTAAATTTGAACATTATATCTAATGTCATATGACATATTTCATAACGTCAATATGTTAGCGCGCCGAAAACGCACTTACAGCCTTTTTGTATTGTCTCCAAAGCAAAAACCGCCGCGGCGGAGCCGTGCTTGTTAAGTGTGTTATACCTTAAATGTAACCCCTAAACTTTACAAGCGTTCACTATTTGCAGGATTGTGACAACAGGTACCATGTTTGTGCAACAAAAACACAAAGTAGAAGTTAGTTCAGTGCATGAGAATTAAATAAAATATTGTTACTAAGACGAAAGCAACCATTTTCATGATGGAATATTGTAACTAAACTGTACATTTAAAGCAATGAATTATCTTCTAAGTAGGTACCTGTGTAAACAAAACTAGGAAGGTAAATAAAGAGCACGGAAATTCTTTTAAAATTAATCACCAAATATTAATAACCGACTAAATCCAGCAATTGATTACCGCGGGATACGATTTAATGAAGTGTAATCTTATTAAAAATTAGAGGAGGTCGGACCAAAGTGGCGTTGATCAGCTACGTGCTCCAAGTTTGGAGACTTCGCAGCGACGGGGCAGGAATCTCAATTCTATAACGATGGAATAATTTACCAGAGAGTTGTTCGTAGCGAGCTGGAGAGTTTACATCACTCAATATTATCATTGCTTTCATCTCGTCTCGATGAAATTCAATACGCCTACTTAGCAAGATAACAATTTATTCCACATTTGATGAAGCGGCCCGAACTAGGCCAAGCCACACGTGTGTCGGTTCATTGTAGACACAAATGGTTTTTCCAATAATATCTAAAAATCGTCGCACTTGTCCCAAGAGCGCGCATCTCCCCAGCATCCTCTAATTAATTAAATTCCCCGTCAAAAAATAGAATTCATTAATAAAAAAGTTGACCGCGCATTTTACACCGAGTGGCGGGAATTCCCGGTGTTATATTAGAATTACGCGGGATTATGCGGGATTCCACTTAATTACGGGATCCGCCGAAATTACACGAGCTCCTTAGTTTTTTAACAGCCTCTACACGAGAGATGGAAATTATTATGTGGCTGTGTAGTCATTCACATTTATGGACCTAGGCGGAGTCATCACGTGCTTTTTATAATAATTTATTTAACTTAAATAAGTACGTGGATTTGTACCTATTGCTTTTAATATAGAAATGAGAGTGATCTCTAGGTTTATTCAGTGTATTCTACTTTTTACATTCCTTTCAGTTAATGACCTCTCACAACTCACAGACCTCGTGTCATTATGAAAGAGCGGTAGAGTTGTAGCAAATTCTTGGACAACACAACTTGAATCCTACTTTGAGACTTAGATCAAGCAAAATATTTATCTGTGACCGGTGATCGACATAAACTGAATAAACAGTTCCAGGTCACAAACTCGATCAGACGAATATAATCAAAATTGTTTCAGGTCACGATTAATTTATAAACTTTGAAAGTAATTATCGTGTTTGTGGGTATAAGTATACTATTACGTAATGTGTGTGTGTGTAACTAATATAATAATGTTAGTATATTATATACCACAATGGTGTATAGATGTGTTCACGCGGCTCGGCGTGTGACACAAGTCCCGGTGGGCTCACAATGGCCCAGCATTCTTGACTACTCGCTATTGATTACGATATCATTATTTTAGAGAAACCAATTTATACAAGTTTCGTCATAGTGCTTGCACTTATTTGTCGCGACACGTTACTTTACATGTTACATGTTACCAGGGAATCGTCATGTTCCACCAAACTTCTAACAAGATCCTCTCCAACGCACACCGTAGGTACTGGTAAAATACGCACGTAATGTTGGTAGAAACAAAAGCATTGAAAACGATTTTAAAATTTTTAATGTATGAGAAATTAGGAATCAATCGCAAACATTAAAGTCATCAAAACCTCCACTACCACAAATCTGAAACAGCTCAGCGAATGAATGACTTCGTATCAAATTACCAACTTTATATTTTTTGCCACGTAATCTTCGTTTCTATTCAGACTTATAGGTTTTATGGCAATATGTAGGTAAGGTTCTTTCAGCTCAGACACCTAAAATAATCCCTTTTTCAATCGATATGAACCCAGGGCGAGCATCGGAGCTAAACTGTTCTGATAATAACGTGGACTTGTTATTTACCGCGGTGGTTGGGTCTCGGGGAAATATTGACTGTGTTCGGTTTTCCGCATCACTTGGCGGCCGGGCCGACGCTCGCAGTGTCGTCGCTAGCTCCCACAATCGGCGTAACGTTTCACTTCACGGACCATTGCCAGCTTTTTATAAGTATCGTCTGCAGGTTCCTGCACAGTTGCAGCAATGGACACTGCTAGCTGAGCGCCATGTTTCTCACCGACTCGTACCCTAGTAACATGTGTATGTGTGTGTATGTGTGTGTCGCGCGCCCGCGCCTCCTGCAGATAAAACATTTTGTGTTGACGGTCGCGCCGCTCAACTTCCGCCTATTTCTTCCACGTATATGGTTATTGTGAAAAAAGTCCTTTGTAATCTTGAAACTCGGTGTGGGCGGTGGACATAATGGCCCATATTTTCGTATGGTTCACATTATATACGTTAAAAAGACGTGCAAAGTAAATAAATATATAAGCCGGCGTTTACAACAGAGTAGAACTTTAGGATTTCATTTGTATCCACTAGCAACGCTTCCGATATCATAAAATATGATGAGCTTCGAGTGGTAATGACGGACACATTGATATCGCTTAGTGGCGCCATCTGTCGAGGGACAGAGGCCGCTTTCGTTCGACCGACCTTTTTGCCATGCTGCCTATAATGAATAAGGCCCCATCTAACATACCTAATATTTCAATATAGACCTTATTCCAATACCTGAATATTTATTAATTTCTTAAAAACTAACTAATCAGTCAAAGTCAAGTTTGTTCTATGTAGATCTCATCATAGTAACGATTACTGCTGCTAATTTGTAAATCTGACACAATCTCTGGATTTAGGCAGAGATATAGTACAATAAAATATGTAAGTAACAAAAGATTTGTAGAGTAAAGTCGTAACCCGCCCCCTGCGCTCGCTTGCACGCGTAGCGAGTGTAGCGAGTGAACAATAATCACATTGTTCCACTCCCGCCGGGCTCAGCAGAGATCCCTGCTTATAGCTACGGAGTAACGAGTGATTAGACTTGTATCTCCTACCAGGTAGACAAACACTATAATCTGACGACAAGTTAATTTTGTGTACCTAATATTGTTAGCTTATATTGTTGGCTTTTTAAACGTAGTTTATAAAAGAAACAAACACAATCGTGTTTAAACCAATTGAGAAACCTGACAGTCAAAATAATACATAGCTATGCTAAACTTCAATTCTGTCGCTTCCAGGCAAAGTAAGCCACTGCTATCAATCGACGAAATTTGGCATCAGGCCAGTCACGCTGCACTCCACTACCACCCTAGACGACGTTACCATAAGGTTCCAAGTCCTGTGACAGGATGTGATAGAGATAGTGGAAATTTGCGGTATTCGGAAACTCTCCGATTAGCCGACAGCGATTGTAATACAGAGTTTATTATCATTGCACTTTATTTTTATATTATCAGAGTCGAGAGAGAATTGAATCGAATGCCGGCATTCAGTACTCGATGTGTGCTCATTGTTAGAGGAAGTTTTTTATGGACGCGTGTCGAAGTCAATGATTCCGCTATGTTTACTTTATGGGTCAATATAGTTTATTGGCGCGAGATTTACTTGACGGTTACTATGAACTTATTGTAACTGTTTACTGTGTCCACAATTCCATGTATTTCAACCATGTAAAAGTATTTATTAAGTAGAACAGATGATGTGCCGCGTAATATGATACCACAGATCGCACAGACGTATGATAAGTGTCCGGTACACGGCGCTGACAGGTCGTGATTCGTTGACTGACATCAGTCTGGCGGGACCAGGTCGCAGCCCTCCGACCTGACACCATAATATATCGGCACTCGGCGCCGACGGGTCACGTCTACCCACCACGATGTGCAGCTCCCATACTTCCAACAAACTTTCACTTACTCTCAACCCTGTACGTAAGGAAATAAGGACCAATTTCATACAACCTTCGATGGTTTTAAGTTTGTGTATACCAACTTGAATTCAACCCGCGTACAAGCCCAAGGCGTCTAAACTTATTAACTGAACATGTACGGAACAGTAAAAATCGATAGTTGGATGGAATGTATGGGAACGTATTGGATTCCAATTGAAATTTAGGATAAAGTGGTCGTAGGTTCAGTGCAATATGTGGAGCACGTGGCACGCCGGCGGAGAGTCCAGGATACGAGTGCCGCATGGTGCCACGCGCGGGTACATTGTTCGCTAAGTTTCGGCAACTTACTGAGCTGCTGAACGTGGAGAGCTTCCACCGGCGCTTTGGGGAAACTTCTGAAGCGTGTACATTTCTTTAGGGATTTAACGAGAGCTTGTGCATAACTTTGGTAACAAACTACATTTTGAAAAGTAAATTTAACATTCTAAGATTATACCTCTACACATTCTACACGTGTACGCAAGCACTTTAGTTCAGTGCATCGCATTACTGTACTGTACTGCTACATTAACTGTTTGTGTACACTTTGTTCAGCTTCTTCATCTACTCTAAAAATGTAGTTATGTAGTCACTAAGTCAGAATCATAATCTCCATGTCATCACTTTCAAATGAAGCACGCTCGTAATAGAAACCGTAAAGCAACATGGTCAGTAGATGTGCAACCAGCACAGTACAGGATGATTTATGAAACACAGCCCCACCAGCAGCAAATCAATGAATACTTCTTTCTCAAATACTGAATAAAGTGGATGTAGTTTCTATATCTGACAAATAACGGCGATAGACATCAATGGATTGTGTAGGCAATATCCGAGGCTGTTAGACAAAAGTGAAGTCTTTACATTATAGATAGGGGCCCGGTATAAGTGGGCCCATCTTTCATTCCGGCCGGACCTCGCGAGCCCTGCCATAAATATGTGAACACTGTTGTTTTTGTCCATAACTTGAGACTACGGTTTGTTTGACGAGACTGAAAGATGGATGTTATTCTAAAGAACATTTGGTCTCACGACAGACACACATACTCATGTAGATATTCATATAGGGTATTATGTCAACGGGACCTTTTCTCTGTGTCATCTGTTTGGTTTTTGAAACATTTGAGATCGAGATTTAATAAAATATTACGAAATTTAGTGCCTATGCTTCATTCTACTTCACGTTTTGTATCGATGTATGTAGATATTGGATTCAGTAAATTTTGCGTTACGTATACTCCTACGCTCAGAGGTCCGTGTCTGTGATCCTCTGAAGCCTCTCGAAAATGAGAAAGATGTGTCTATGTAGATTTTATCCTTATCGAGTATAGGTATATCTTCAAGTCCCTAAAATATATGTTACACGAAGAATACCCAGTGCTTCAGGATTAGGTTGCGTGTAGATGGGTAGGTAACTCTTTATATGTTCCGAAACGAAGACCGTATTGTTGTATGTCGAACCCGATTGAAGCTTCACATCTAACATTATTCAATACTGAATCATCTTTATACTAACTTTAATTAAAGTTATTCAGAGAATGGCTTATCCCAAAACCGAGCAGGAATCAGATTTATATAAACACACCACAATAATTAACAGAGTCCAGTAATGAGCTGCCCCGCTAAATGAACACGTACCGCCATGATAACACACACACACACACACACTGGCGCATTAAGCTTATAACATTCCGAAATAACATACAGCGCGCCCTCTGTCGGAAAAAATACGAAGTGATATTCCTGCATACGCGTTACAAGGTCTGCCGTTGTGTGGCTGTTAACGGAATATATACGATATATTCCTTACTTCTTTCAGTAAAATATTATACAGTTTTCACATCATGGTATCACAGTTTTAAGCAAACTTCATGTATTTTTCTTTCTTCTAGCCATTTTCCCCAAATTAGTTTCGGGGTCGGCTCCGAGTCTAAGTATACCAGATTCGACTGAATGTCTACATTATGCCATTTGCCCTACTACTCAGTTAGATTTTCCCGAATACAATGCATCACTTTATGTGGAGTTTGTATAACACTTAGTTTCCAGTGAGTTGTATAACATTGGTCCTCAGAGTCTACTTCTTCGATCGTGTTCAATAAGTCGTGTCCGCAATGCTGAGTGCTCATAGCTAAGCTAGTCGTTAGCTCGTCAGAGTATTTGCGTACCGAGGTCGTGCATTATTCAGCCGGCGACAAACTTGTTCCCAGTGATAACCGGCCGAGCGGAAACATGGCGCGACTCACTGAAAGAGTGTGCAGCCGCCCTAGATAGCTCACAAATAGTTTAGAAATGTTTTAATTATGAGAATGTTAGCTGAATGTTCTGCAGTATGGCATGCGTTAATGAGAGGACCTTCTATTGTTTCTTTTGCTACGTCTCCGTACTGCTGTCGAGGTATTAAATTCTTAGCATTTGTGAAGCGAATGAGTTTGGGATAGTTTAGTAACTATTAACTGAAAATGTGTTGCAGTTGCTATTATGTTAACACATGAAAGACTCATGATTTGAAGCCGAGCATTTAGATTGCACGGTTAAGGACGTTGATATGATTCCCACATATCAGTAAAAAAATGCGATTAGTAGACATGCTTCTAAGTAGTCGTAACGACTGTCATAGAAACTAAAATTTATTAAGCAAAAATTCTATGCGTTTTACGTAACAGCTGTTACATTAAAAGTTGTAGAAAAGACAGTATCTACATGTGTTTGTACCGTGGACTCCACAGACAGCTGGAACGTGTGGGACAAGTACAAAGTGAGCTGTAGCGTGTACAAACGCGTGACACATGGGAGTCGCATTATTCTATTTACCGTATAAAGGGCATAGAGGGCGCGCTCAGCACGCTGCACTTTACTGTATACTGCAGGATACGAAGTGGGTTATGCAAAGTGTAGTAATGCACTCTTTCACTGTCGAGGGTCAACTGGGAGACATTGACATACGCTCTGTCATACGATCTGGTTTAGTCAGGGTATAACACACAGACACCGTCGTATACCGCAATAAACACTAATATATTGGTAATTTGGCTGTGAATCATATTACAAAACAATAAAATATAATAAACTAGAGTAATTTGATGTGGCGGTCCTTGCAGTAGGTATGTCGATTTCGAAACTCTCAATAAACTAAGGCACTAGTTCTTTGCTAAACATTATGAACAAATAAATAAAGAATTGAAGAAGTTTAGCAGTAGGTACCCAATATCCTTCAAAATAACAAGACTCAGTATTATTACAAGTTATCATAATTCATGTTCAGTACAAAAATGTTCATCTTGTTCTTTTGATTTAAATGACCGTGAGACACCTCGCTTCCTCCGGAGGATCTGATTGATGATCCTCCGCCCCTCCCAGCATCCTCAGCATTCAGAGCAGGATCATAAATTAAGTGCACTCTCGTTTGGCGGTACAATGAGCGGTCCGGGGTTCAATAGCAATTGTTCCACCGTCGAGCTGTTCCTCCGTTTTTGTAAGCGAATTTACTAAAGTTGGCCATTTGTTCTAATTGTATAGTAAACAATATTCTAAGTTTTAATCATTTTTTACTCTGCTAAACTAGTTGCCTGAAGTTAACACTGTGTTCTAAGTTTAGGTAAATATATATATAAGGTTTATTGGATCGTCGTATTGTTGATTCTACTCTTAAATATTAACTCCCTTCAGCTTTATCAATATACTAATAAATTTTAGTAAATCTTCAAAAATCGTTTATCCCGAAATAAGTAGAAAATAAATAAGGTAAGATCAAAATAAGACCCCAAAGAAAACGTATTGAGGAAAATTATTCAAAAGGTTCGAGGCTCTATAGATTAGGGACTCTTTTAAAAAAGAAAACTCTCAAAGTTTATCTCTGGCAGAGATTCATATCTTTATCTGGTGCTCCAAACTGTTCTAGCTCGTTGAATAACTAACTTCGCCTCGAAACTTTCATATTTTTCGCTGTCCACGACTATCATAACTTCTACACAGCTCTTCAAAGACTTTGTTAACTTCACACAAAAAGATTTCGGTATTTATATCCTTTGTCTTGAGGTTTATTATAGTATTCCCATTGTCACCTTCCATCGTACTTACACGTTTCATTTAAGTAGAATATCTTTGATTGTATTACAGGCTGATTGAAGCAGTTAATAGAATGTATCGTCCCGCCAGGCCGCCATGCGCCGCTCGTGTAACAATGGCTGCCGGTGCGAAGTGCGCACTCTCTAACACTTTGTTGATGGTTTTGCCTTTTTAACTTTTGCTAAGCCATTAAAACTTTTACATTGGCCAGGTCTATGGTTTTTGCGCAATCACCTTTGGAAACCCGCCGTTACCGAGCCTCATTCCAAATTAATTAACTTTGTAATGTTCGTCACCAGATTAGAAGTGTAAAGGTTCTTATCATCGAAGTAATTGTGTCCTATAAAGTGGCTGTCTATTATTTTAGTTAAAGTTATAAAATAAAATAACGAAACTCAGGAAAAATGGTCTTTAATAAAACCTCGTTTTACAGATGATAAAATCATCAGAGTTCACAGATATCCACCACAATCTAATATTTACAATGTCGTATAATAGAAACTAATAGTATTTATATACAAAGTTAACCATTCAGCATCGCTTCCACAAGTTCTCAAATTATGTATGTTTGTATATCCGTCTATATAGTAATACTATGTACAGAATAGTAATAAAAAGGTCTTAAGTACTTATTTCAGAGTTCACAACTCAAATATTCCATTAAATACTTCAATATCATCACATAATAATATAAAACAGTTTGTCAACAGAGGTTCTAACACTGCAGTAGACTATACAATATATAAATTCAAGACAAACAATAACATAAACTTAACAGAAATGGAAATAGCACAAACTGTTTAATTGTTTAGGAGGTAGATACTTAATGCTAGAATACACCGCCCTCATACCTAGACAACATTGTGCAAATTGGAAACCATGTATCTATTGCGCATTGACTTCGCGTTGGAAGCCGATTGGTCTGAACACAGCCAGCAGTGTATTCTAGCGCTGAAGAGTGATCGCTTGGGCCGCACACACGTACGTAATGCACCATGCTTGTAGTATTTGTATAGTGCGGTGCATACGACCGCTGCTGCCGGTCCAGTGGGGCGCGAGACTGGTCAGCCAGGGAGAATCACGTTCGTTCATACTTAGTACTCATTGATTGTCGTAGACCTGTGCGTGTTCACTAACCTGCCATAGACGTCACACATGACTGAAAGTTTCGTTGCCACATACCTACGCACACACTCACACGATTCATCACACTGCAATTAGTCGCGCACACTGAGACCAGCTAGTTGCAGTGACATAATTATACTGTACAGGTACCAACTAACGGTCGCGTTCAAAAATCGTCTACACCGATATCTCTTGGATCTGGACGCGTTTTTTTGGCGGCGCGACGCCGGCGCTGCTCGGCCTCTCTTTGAGTTCTGACTCGCTGCTGCGCTGTGGAAATCGAAAGATATGTTAATTGACGCCAAAATTGGCAATCATTACCTTGACATGCACACGATATTATATAATTCGATATGATCTGTTCCAGATCCACGTGTTCAAAACGATATTATTACCTTGAGCGTGCTCTTGCGAGGAGAGGTTACAGAAGTCGGCTCGTTGCTCAGAGATGCACCGCTGCGACTGCTGCAGCTGCCTGTTATTGTAAACAGTACGAATTAAAAGTCTGCTGGACAATGTTCCGCAGGCAAAGAGAAAACTGGTATCACAACAAAGAGAGAAAATACTTTATACTTTTTCCATACACACAACATGTTGAATTTTAAAATTGGAGCTATACAAAATGTTTCCGTGGTTTTTGAATCGGAGTAGCGTATTGAACCTGCACATGAATGAGAGTGCACGTCGCGTTCGATCGCTGCGAGCGTCCATAAATAGTGCCCCCGCTTTACTAGAGATATACCGACAGTTACTGCAAGTGTAGGCGGTGGCCTGGATTATAAAGTGGCGAGTTAAGGAATGAGAGACAAACTGCTCGTATTCGGATACTTTACTATAGAATATTTCATATTTTGACCAAAGTAAATTTAATGTCACAACACGGAACAACATTCTCATCACTCTCTCACTACTTAAAATGCTCGGTGAGTTATTACTGGCCCCTACCATGAATAACAAATTCGATCTCCTCGAAATGTTATGGGTAAGTTTTGTAAATGACCGCTCTACGATTGTAGTGCCTGCGCCCCGCGGCGGTTGCGTGAGAATCGGGTTTGTAGTTTATAGTACGGTCCTGTTGCCAAGTGGTCGCTCATAAAAATGTTTTTAGATATTTGTCGTCTTTTTGCGGAAATGTAAAAAAGTGTATACGTTGCTGCCTCAGAATATTCACGGTGACATGTCGGCGCTACATAAAAGTAAATACACCGTACACAAATGGTATGTTAGAGCAAATCGTTTACAATAATCTCACAATAAAACCGTTTCCTGCAGTTGACACGTTTCATTGAACTGGAAAGATAAGCGGTTGACTCGACGTTACTTTGGAGGTTTTTATTCGTTCAGACGAAACAATTTCAGAGCGTCTGGTGAAAGGTCACGGCTAGAGACGTCTTTAGTGATGTTGACTCGGGGAAGTAATTATTGTGAAAGCTTGTCAGGTCTGACCTTCTCTCCGCGGGCGGCGGTGCGCAGTTCTCCGTCGGCCGCGCTGGAGGTAGATGCCGGCGAACACCAGCACATTCAGCGCCAGCAGGAAGCAGCCCGCGCCCACCGTCACGCCCAGCGCCACCGTGTAGCTACGTCACAACGAAATAAACGCAAATCGTATACAATAAAAATATTTCTTTATTTGCTTTTCATAAAAGAAAATGACATAATCATCTGTAGAGTTATATTGTGTATGCAAAGTGTCGTTTACTCCGAATTTTTCATTTGTGATTCCGATAAAGTATCACATCATTGAAATGCTGAAGTATATTGAACTCGTGCTTTTGTTCGGCAAGCTTCAGAAATAGGTCAAACGAACGATTCGGCATTATGTTAATAGTAAATTGAAGATATAAGAGTCGATTGAACTCCAATGTACAAAATCATATTGTTATGTCATCGCATCCGTTTGAAATATGAGAATCATTATTCCGAAGTGACACAGAGGCCAGGTAATTCAGTCCGAAGTTCGGTGCGATCCATTACCATTATCAGCAGTATCCAGTTGTCTGGAGGAAAAAACGCTCCCCTTGAGAAATGGGTCGGCATTAAGACATTATATGCGAGACAAAAGGGACAGAATTCAGGAAGGCAAACAGGTAAGTAAACACATTAGCGAGATTACGAGGCTCGCTACAAAATGCTCCGATCAATCTTGTTTAGAGTGTGTTCAGGTGACGGAGCGGGCCGCGCCGAGCAGCGCCGAGCCGCGCCGAGCCGCGCCGCGCCAACATTTACATGTTATGAAAGTTTAACAGCGCTCGTGAGAACCACTTTGTGCGCTATGATCGGCTCTCTGTTCCGTTTTACTCCCTTTATCAAATTCAATGAAAGGTATTGCACAACAACGAAAAAAGAACAGTGAAATGTGGAACAAAATAAATACACATCCCTTGTTTACGTGCCTGATTTGTAGCAACCTGATACATTGTCTTTGTGAGCGACATAGCGACATAGCAGTCGCTTTCTACTCGAGATTCATGTCCAAGTTCGGACGAGCAAGTAATACAAAACATCAGATGGAAGTGTCTACTGTTCTCCAAGTCTCCAACAAACTTGTGCTATGATAAAAACACGTATGTAGGTAGGCAGCTACGTATGTGGGAAGCAGAATGTCTCTGTAAAACTAGGAGAAAGTTGGAGTGTTGTTGCAAGTTGTGGCTGAGTTGGCAGGGACTTCAGATGTGGATCAACATCTTAATGACAGCGAACATTTCACAGCGGCTCCCGTACTACTTCGTATTGTTGGAATGTTCCGCTGTGACGCGCCCGGACCGAGGTTTTGTTTGGCTTAGCTCCCCGGAGATTGTCGCTCCCTTCAGCTCAACAAATTCTTTTTTCGTCACTTGTTTATCTTATTACGGTAAACATCGTTACGTTGCTTTTTGTGCAGCTTTCGAAATACCCTCAATACTTTCTATTCATTTTTCTACAACACAACAGAGTTTCGTCTCTTAATTGGATACGAAGTTTGCTCCACAACGTGGACGTGGCGGATAGCGGAGACTAATGTTTTTGTCACAATATTGTAGCTTTAAACAACAATATAGTGAGTAGCTACATGTACCGTGCAGTGAATAGTAGTCTTGACATCAATCACTAGTCTAGAATTTATTGACCAACTTACCTGTAGTACTGGGAGTCCAAGTTAGTGAGGGAGTCCTCTTTGGGCGAGGGTTGTGGTGCTGGCAGCGCGGACAGTGCGGGCCGCGGGGAGGGGGACGGCTCGCACTCCTCTACTTCTGAGGAGTCCTCCTCCGGCTCCGTGCTATCCTCCTCGTCATCCAGAGCGGACGTGGTCGTGTACAGCTCAGGGAATATCTCACCTAAATTGAATTAAGAAAAGGTCAGTTTCCTATTTGTTCATACAGAATACAACATTACTTACTTCTCTTATAATAAAGATAGGTAATGTCATGTCGCTGGGCGGTACGTCTGATGGATATCAAATTGTCACTCGGGAGTTAAGCCAGTCCACTAATAGTGAGCACTGAAATACAAACACCTTGGCCTAATCGGACTACCTCCGTTTAAGTTTGGTCTGAACACACAACACAATTACACGGTGAACTAAAACTTTAAGCTATTTAGGTACTACAGCAGAAACTATAGAACGCCAATTAATTAATATTTTACCTATTAATTTATAATCAAGTACAAAACTAGGTCTCAACCTCTTTTTAATTAACCGTTTTTGACATAAAACGTTACAGGGCCCATAATGAAATGTTAAGAATTTAAACTAATTAAGTTCCATGTCAGTGTCTAGGTCTCGGCTCAAAAATGTTAGTTCCCAGCAAGTAGGTCTGTGCGACTGTTCCTAAGGACCGAGTGGAATTTTAATAAGTCAGCATTGTTTAAATAAACGCAGTGTTTCTAGTTGTACCCAACTTCGATTCCAAGAATGTTATTCACTTCATTAAATTTTAACCGAATGCTGGAAACTCTGTGATCGTAAAATTGAACTAAATAGTTTCATTAATCACCGTTACCTAATATAGAGTACGCCCCAGTTAATCACTGCCTTACAGCAAACATTTCTGAGATACCATCCCGTTTGTTCCAGTCGAAGCTGCCCATACGAACTCACAGAGCTACCCATTTCACGCAATATATGATAACCGCATGAAATTCAATAGATTGTCAATATAATGGAAAAGTAAATAGCTCACCAATATAGAACATATCTGAACAAGAAAGCGATCCCTGAAGTTATCAAAGGCTGGTAATGAATGGTGGACGCGCGCACAATGCAGGCGATCCCAAGTTGTGCCTACTCGCACAAAGAGCGATTGTTGGCGCCACCGCCGCCGCCCGCCGCCGCCCGCACCGCGATCTCTTTTGTAAATCTAAGGATGAACTGGAACATGTCCCGGCGACCGTGCACTACTATTGTTTCTTACACGGGCCTCTTGAACCACGTCCGAGTGTGGAACCTCATCCAAACTCCAATAAAAAAATCTATAAAAACATAAACTTCGTCTTCGTGCGGTAGAATGGACCTACTAGGCTAAACTTTCGCTGAAATGTAGGTAAAATTCGGCCATGAAAATGAAAATTATTACCCCGATAGCTATTATCAAAATACTTTCTATAATGAGAAGGACTAGTCCAATTTTTAAGTGTTGTTAAAGAACCATTTCATGGAATTCATGAAGGGGCATCCAATCAAAGTTTTCGTTTGCGATGATATTGAATGGCCGTCAACGTCGGCTCCTAGCAAATTGTCTACATTGAGTCGGCAGCCCTGCGGCGCGTGGCAGGAAACTGAACAAAGGCAGCGTGCTGAGACCGCCGCGCGCCGTCTTTCCTGGTTCAGATATCGACACTTTAATGTCCTCGTTTGCCACTCAACTACACACTGTTTGTCGAAACTATGATTAATCTTTTCGTTTTCATAACTCAACTCTTTTGTTAAATTTAGTGTAGTAATACAATTGCAAACACGTCTAACTCAGTATATCCAGCAATAGAGACAACCCCACAATCTCAGCGGCTGTAGTAATTAGCGCGGGATCGCTTGTAAACAAAATGTGATCGGCGCCGAGTTACCGCCACCGAGCAGTGTGCAGCCTCCGGTACACACTCTCACGTACAGATTAGCGCTCAATTGCCGGACAAACGTGGGCGGAGGGATTGTTAGCTTTTTGTAGGACAATGTCTTAATTAGTAAATAACTGTCTATTGTGTAGCATCACATTGTAAGTCACATTAGATGTTAAACTTGTAAATTTTTAAATATTATCTTACAACACGGTTGAACGGTCCCAGTTAAATTTTTACGTGCTACGTAAGATTGTCTCCAAAACATTGAAGCCGTTAATGCGATCTCTAGCTAGAGTCAACTTTAATACGGCTCCGAAAATGTTGACAAAACATGACCTGCTCCATTTTAAAGACCGTTTTGGACGTAAATATTCTTTGGAACGTAATCCCAAGCATGCGAACATAAAGAGCATATCTTCGAGGCAACAATACACGTATTCCAGGACTGTATGCGTGTCGGTGTGTCGCAGCCCCAGCGAGTGAAGTTGTCCGTGACAAAGGGCCCGCATTGTTCGCCACCAGACCGCGCCATTCTTCCCATACCGCTCATTATGGAGGAATTCCAGCCATTCGCGGGACAATTAATAACAGCTCCGGCCCACCCGAAACACTCCCTGATCGATTTATTTTCATTCGTGACACCTTCCGCCATTAATCACTTGTCTACCAAATATTTTGGCGACAACTTTTATTTTTATACATTCCAAACGCAATCCCGCAGCCACGTATCACTCCACGGTCCGCGGACCCGCTAGGTATGTAATGTTTGCGGAGGCATATAAACAAAGCCGACGCGCAGCGCCTAGCGAGTAGTAGTGCCTGTGCGGGCCAACTTGTCTCGCTCGAAGAAATTTAAAGCTTGAATTCTCTTTGGCTCCGGAGCCATTATTTAGTATTCAAACTGTGTGGAGCTTCCAAAGTTGAATCCTTTCAGTGACGGCTCTCCCAATTAATATAATCTCACGCGTGTTGTTCACTTCGTGCTCCTGACTCCGCTCACGCTCTACGGATTGAGCTATAGTCATAGTGCTTCTGAACATTTATAACGGGAAGCGGTAGGGGGCTAGGGCGAGGGGGGAGCGGTTAATGAGGGCGTTCCGTTTACGCGCCGCGCCAGGAAATAGCACTAATGGCTCTGGATAATAAGGCATGCTCAATTTAAGCAACGGTAGACGTTACCAATTTGCTTTCCATTAAAGCTGCGCCTATGTTGTGCGGTGATTGGCCAAATTTCTACCATCGTCTATTCACCACCAATTACAACTGAAATCTATTCTTCAAACATTATAAGTCTATATCATAATGCGATGCGTACAATCGTTTGAATGTTTGTATTTGCTTTGACTGGAGCAAATGGCCTACTGTGTTAATAAGTACAAAATATTATAGGTAGGTACTTACATATTTACTATTTCGCAGTTTTAGTATAAGTTGTCTTAATATAAAAGACCTATTTACGTATAAACTAAAGCTAGAATAAACGTAGAAAGTACTTAGTTCATACACATTTACGAGAGAGTTCAGGAAGCAAATGAAGGCAACTTATCGCATCAACTATTATAACAGACCACCATTTATCCCACAACTTGGACGGAATTTTGGGAATTCCTTCCGCAGCGGTCACGTGCGGTACATAGGGAATTCTTATGGAAACATACTTGCACAACACACTGACTTCGCTGGGCGAACTTTGTGCGTCATCTCGGTTAAAGAATTCATGAAAATTAAGTTCAAAACATTCTCAGTGACGTAGAGAGCTCCAACCAGGGTTAAAATTGTCATTTATAATTAGGACTGACCTGCAAACATGTCCGGATGTATGGACCTGAACTGGTGATGACGAGGCGCGGCGCCCGGCCGGTGCAGCTGCGGGATCAAATGCAACCACAGCGCCATCTTGTGGCCGCGGTAGTGACTCTTCACTCGGAGCTTGGTACCTGGTGGAACAATACCATAGTAATATATACACAATTACTACATATCCGAGCCAGCCATTGCCTAGGGTTGCAAAAATACGAATTTACATGATTGAACAAATAATAAAAAACTACCATCTCATTGCGAAGAAAGTTGTTTAGCGGGCCTCAGCGAATTCGATTCGGCCCCTCAAATGGTCCGTGACTGTGTGATCCCGAGAATAGAAAAGATATCTCTAATATACTGGTTTCAGGAATATTTAGGTAAGGTCAAAATAAATTTTATAAGAAAAAGAATAAATGTTCACAGTACCACACATTGTAAGAAAACGTAAGAAACACCGTAACGAAAGGATTAAACAAGTTGTAAACCCTCAGATGTAGGGGAAAGGGAAAACACGCACACTCGTTGGGAAAGCAGATCGTAAAAATAACGAGTTTCGACACAATATGGAGCTGAAACTTTGAGCAGCGCCTTATCTGATTAACTTGGTGGCGTGCGAGATTTTATTCTCAGATCAGAGTTAGATGAAAAATCTGCGTGTTGTTCGGTTCACCCTTGTTTTGTACGCACACGTCGCACTTACACCGGTCGGGCGCGAGGCGCGACGTGTACAATGAATTACATTAACCTATTTATGGAGCTGTTTTTGACTCAAGTGAGTTATGTCGCTGTCAAACGTGGGAAAGCATAACATAATGAAACAGATTGGATATTAGAGTGAGTGCAGTAGCTTTGTTTGTAGTGAGAGGAAACTTATTATTTTACTAGACATTCGTTCTTACCTATACTTAAATACTGTTGAGTGTTCATCTCGTATCTCGGCCAGGTAGTGGGTCCGTCGTGATGCCTGTCCTCAGCTCGTGGTGTGGGGTCCCCAGTCTTGGCGAAGGCAGCGAGCAGGGACACGGCCGTCTCCGCCACGGCCACGTCGCCGCGCGAGTAGTTCCGCGGCGCCAGCTGCATGCCGCCCACCAGCGGCAGCCCCAGGAAGTACGGCAGCGTCTCACTCGTAACGCTGCCTAGCCGCTGTACGGTACAAATATTTTACCAACATCAACATCAACAACTACAACAACATTAAGTGACCACCATAATCCTCACGCTTACTGGACGGATCACAATAAGTTCATTAAAAGCTATTAGATACTGCTGCCCGTAATGCTCACATATTTTCACAAAATATAAAACGAGAACAATATATAAGCGGGCAATTATTCATTTCACTTTTATGACGTTAGTTATAATGCAAATGAGCTAATTATTCATTACAGGAAGTTTTGACAAATTTGGTGATCACGTAGACTGTGAGTAAATTAATGACCTCCCTAATTCATTCACATATTACAACGTGGGTGTCGCAGCGCCCCGCGGTAATTGGTTCACCCACACATTATGCTACATTATTGCAAAGATATATTAAAACTAACAAGTTAAGAAGATTGACGTTCTACTCCATAATATCAATTACCTGGCTCGCTTGAAGTAGATTCACACTGTTTGGAACTTACTTGTGGGTAGTCAGCATCCTTGCTTTGGTGCGCAAAGTGTGCGAAGTATGTTCTGGCCCCTCTCCGTGCATGTAGTTGTGCTACCCTGAGAGCTGGGGCAGTGACGGCGGCGTCGCTGAGGGACTCCAGCGTCGCGTCCCTGATGTTGATGGGATGCTGGATGGGCTTCTCCCAGTCCGTGTACTCGTTCCGTATGGCTGCGAAGATCTCGTTGCGGTGGTAACGGTACACGTTGCGGACGTATGTACGGAGGATGCGGTTCCTGGTACAATACAAAGTTAAAAATAAAATCATACTTTATTTTATTAGACATAAGATACAAACTGATAAACGAACCTGTGCTCTTCTTCAAAGCCATGCCGGATGTCTTCTTCATTGAAGAACTGGTAGCTCTCAGTGGTGGCGACCACTACAGCGAGTGCGCAGTCGAGAAAGGTCTCACTGGCATGCAGCGCCCTGGTGGGGGCCTGTCCTTGCGAGCCGACGTCCCGGGAAACGGGTACTGATGGGGCCCAGCCAGCCAAAAACCGCGCTCTCGGGGCTTCCACTGCCAGGAGTGCCGCTAGTGGACGGGCGCGGATGCACTCTACAAACCTACCAAATATTCTTATGTAAATAATAAGCAATTTGTCTTAATTTTTATTATGACATCGTTGCGTAATTGATATTCCTGAATCTCAAGTTCTTAGCCGAATGAATAGTCACCAGTTCTCATCATTTGTGGCTTCTGGCGTACACCGCAGAGCTTGTGCAGTGTGTTCCCTGGCCAGCGCGGCGTCGGGCGCCAGCGCCGCGGGGCTCAGGGCTGAGCCGCTCAGCAGCAGCACGCGGGACACCAGCCCTGATGTACAACGCACTGTTACGTCTAGGCATGGACCATGGCAGAGACAAATTATTACTTTTCTATAGAAATCTAATCCAATGAAAAACCAAGTAAATCGCGTTGGTATTATTTGTTAAAATACTGTGAACATTCCAAATAAAGTGAAAAGTCGGATATTGATATTGATAGGTACATAAAAAATATACGTCAATATGACACGCAACACGTAACTAAATAGACGTGCACATAACGTGTGCAATTATAGACAGTATCCTACAACATATAAAACACACACATATGTACGTACATATTTTATTTGTGCACATTTTTCTCTTTGATTTTATATTGATGGCACGTGTTCGTGAAGCTGCAATATGCAATATCCTGCGAAACGTAGTGAAACGATCGCTTTGGGAATATTTCAGTGAGCCGCGGCAATCTGTCCCAAATATAATATATCTTGATATCTCCAACGTATATATAGTACATATACTACGCCCGTTACTACGTCTAGGTCAATATTTTTGTTAGGGACTACATTACCCTGTGTGTTTGTTTAGCGCTAAATGGATTGCCTGGGAGCTTATTGTCTTGTGTGTATTGATCTCGGCTGTTCGTCTGTATATACACTTACCACTTATATGTTACATATATGTACAATTTAATCACTTCAGCCGTCTTTAACTCAGTTGGCAATAAACGTTCAGTAAGTATGTACCAAGCTCGCTTGAGCTAAATCGAAATAAGTGGCTCACAAATGTCAGATTATTCAAGTGAAAACTTTGGATAATATTGATGGAGTCTATAAAATATTTCGTTTTCTATAGATAGTAACAATATAATATGAGATTTTCAAACATTGGAGACTATATCCGTCTATTCTACACGAGGGCATCAAATATGTTTGTCGGTTTTTATCTCACTACAGTTTCACGTATCAATTCACGTGTTCATATCTAAATGTAACATTTTGACATGTAAATTAACTACCTTTACTGTCGGGTAACATGAGCAGTGCGTTGACAAGCGCAGCCCCCGCGGCGTGGCCTGCCAGGGTGACGCGCCGCGGGTCGCCCCCGAAGGACGCCACGTTGCGCCGCACCCAGCCCAGCGCCGCGGCCACGTCCAGCACCGCGGCACCGCCCGCCGCCTGTACCGCCGTGGACCTCACGCCCGGAGTTAAATAACCTGATCAGAGAATGGAATACTTACCACATCGTCCCAGTAAGGCAATATGGACAATTTCATTTAATAGCATGGTCCTATCCTTGAAGTTACAAATTATTTTTTCTTTCTAAAGTGATGAAGCACGTGTGTCGTACCTAACAATCCTAGTCTATAGTTGATGGTGACGACGAGAAGATGCGCGCGCGCAGCTAGCACGGCGCCGTCCAGTGCGTTGGCGGTGCCCCACTCGTGTGACGGTCCGCCCGCCCACACCACTACCGCGTACGGCGCTTCCACGCCGCGCGCGCCTGTAACGATACCGCTCAGTAACACCACGCTAATGAACAGTAATGTATACAAACTGCGTGTCAAGTAACTCACCGCTACCGGGCACGTAGATGTTGAGGTAGAGGCAGTCTTCGCTCTGGTTGGCCAGGAGCGGCACCGTCGCTCTCAGCTCGTTGTATATGCCCAGCGGCATTTTGGCTAGTGCCGCACTCCTGCGCAACACATCGTACATACACTTAATACGTCCTTGTTTTTGGTATTAATAACATAGTCCCCATCATCAGCCGTAAGATGCTCTCCCTCACAGGAGGAGAGGATTGTTATAATCTCGATAGTAGGTATCGTAGAACAGATGCGGTTGCTGCTGCCTGTCTGTGGGTAAGCGGGTTCCAGCAACGAAATGTACTTACTTGTTGGATATGTCGGGGTAACGCTGCGGACAGACGGGGGCGAAGGCGTCGGCGAGGCGAGTGCCCGGCCAACTGGGGGCCGGGGGCGGCGGCGCCAGGCGAGCCGGAGCCCCCGCGTATGGCACCCCCAGGAACACCTCCACTGGCTCCAGGCGACGAGACGCTGGCTCCACTATGATACCGCGGATCGCTCCTGTTTCATTAAACATCAAAATTCTCACTAGTCACCATATTTTAAAATTTAAAGTTTCTAGTAAAAGTTTTCATTTCAATTCACAGATACCAGCCGGCATTGTTTCCATAGTTTTCCTGTATAATCTTACATTTTTGTATTTGTATTTACCATGTCGATGAACTCACTGAACAAACTCTGTTAAAATCATGAAATAACAAAACTCTTGAAATTGAACAGATGCGCTGTAGTCCCAGTTCCCAACAAAACACACCAGTAATTTGTAAAAACAGTTGATAACTGTGTTTCCCTTTGACACAGCGCTGCGTGGAGAGCAAAACGAGGCTAAATCAGTGGCAGTGCGGAGACAGCAGTGAATAAATAAATTGGCCGAATCACCCGAGTCACCCGGCGAGCTGCGTATCGGAAAAGCCGCCATTTATCCTATTTGCCGGTACGCCTCGAATCGGCTTCAAACAATAATTAATTTGATCCCACATTCCTACGGCGTTTCTGCAAAACGGGACAACATCATTTACCCACCGTGCAGTGGGGAGGCTGGCTGATTGGATTGTCCCGGGATCTGACGGAATTAAAATCTCCCGAGGTTGGGACCCCGGGGACATGACGTATATATAGTTATACCGCACCTGCACCTGAGTACTTACTGTCTACGTGTCTATAAACTCCGGGATGTATGTTACATATTATGTGAGAGTAATTTGTGAGTGGTCATCGAGGTCCGTACTTGACGTCGGCAGGTTGTGCATTACCTGCGTGTGTGTGCACGATGCGGCTGCTGTAGCGCGGGCCGGCGGCGGCCAGCGTCGCGAGCACCAGCGCCGCGCACCAGCACCACGCCGTCCGCAAGCAATCCATGCGCCATCACGCGACGATTGCCTGCCATCACAAAAATACAAATTATAATCAATTCAATACTACCTAATCAAAGGTGCAACTAACAAAAATGAAGACGTCATCAAAATGACATATAAACGTAGTGTGAAAACATTACATACATAATATATTGTATTAAAGCTCCAAATAACGAATTTCAGGTACAACATGATACGCTGGGGAAACCTGACCTTTTTCATTTTTAAAAATGTCGAGTTTTTTTCAAATGTCTCTAAGCGGCACAAGAGTATTGTAGGTAGTTGTTTCAAACGAACAATCCAACAAAAAGCGTCCGCGCACAAAAGGCTTTACGCTTGTAATTCCTGGCGGCTTTGTCGCACCTGGTGTCAGCCTGTGTCACTGCACGCCACTGAGGAGGGCGACACGGCACACATTATTCTATATGTAAAAAATGTCTAATTATGTTCCTCAAACGAGAAATGATAAGACGACCCGTAAAGCAGCAAGGTGAACGCGGCCGCAGCTTAGCACAATCATAAATATGAGACAAAAGAATGTTCGGAACAGGAAAACGTAGCAAATGATCAGAACTCACGCTCCACTCCCACGTTGATTAACTTTTCTTTGTAGCAACACGAATGGAAATTGTAAAGGGGCTTACATCAAAAGCCGATCACACAATACGGAAGTGAGGAAACAATCATCGAACACAAACAAGAGCCGCGCGGCGCACGCACCTTCCACGCACCTACCACGCTCCTCGCACGCTCCTCACACGCTCCAAGTTTCCCAATTAATTTTCTTGCGGAGACTTAGCAGCGCTCGGCCGAGGTGGAGACGCTCCGTGTGTAAATGTTGTCTATACAAAGTTGACTCTGTGCAGAGGGACTTTAGTTTTTGTCTCCACTGTCGGTGGCGGGAACAAGACAAATGGTCTCCCCGTGTCGCCACCAGACGACGCTCAACGACGCTTGAGAGCACCCGTCATGCATCCTCACATTAACCTAAAGTGTCCGATTTTGTCTTCTTTTCTTAATCCACGTCCTAACACATTACACGGACCTCTAATCTTAAAACTATTTAATTTGTGGTTGAAACCTAAACATATTAACTTTTTATAATGTTACAAATATAATTTTTAACTAAAAGAAAAGGTCTCACGCCTTAATATCAGTAAACGTACCTAATCCGTAAAGTTAGTTTTATCAGTTCGGGGAAAGGTTGCGGGCTGATATGCCGAGGTGTCCCGTGCGGAGTGGATTAGAAGTGTTGACCTGGCCACCTGTTAGGCACGGAAGCCGGGCTGCATACTAAACTAGGCTCACTCGAAGGGTTAGAACACTAGCCACCAGACAGTTATACAATATATGTAATGTGTACAAACATATGACGTGACAGATCCGACGCGACGCTTACAATATATTAACTTTATGTTGCCAAGGACTTAGTAAAGATAATAATAAAATTATTTTGATCGAAATGTCGAGGTTTGTAAGTATTCATGATTTCATAAATGGTTTTTGTAGTTTTCAACACAACTACCGCACTTTTACCGTGTGGATTAAGTAAATGACATCAATGATCTTCCGAAGGCGTGTAATGCATTATGTCAATATATGAACTACTTAGCAACTGTTTGTTCCTTTCATCTAGCTCGATCAACGATCGCACCACACATTGAGTCCAATACAATGTTAGTTTATGTCGTGTACCCATATGTTTATAATGTTCCAAATAGTTTTAACGACCTTTTTCTTTTCCACTAGAGAAGAGAATTGAAATAAAGTACGTAATGAATACAAATAGCTAGTTTGCCGGCTGAGAATACGGTACTCTCCTCAATTCGTTGTAATAGCTTGTGCGAGCCGTCGCGTGTCGCGTGTCGCGTCACACTAATCTTATTTTTACGTCTGGAATCTGCCTGATGAGGAGTTACTACTGCGACATTGTACAAACGTTTGCCTACTACATTGTCGAGTACACAAGAATTTTATAAAGTCGATTTGTTAGGGCGGATACTGTGTCAAGTAATACTTAAAAACATGTTGAGATATTTTTGCCCAACTAGTATCAAAAATGTAGCACCATAACTCTGTTTGGGCACAAAAGTTCTTTTATCCTTTGAATTTCTTTTTGACGCCCTCTATCTGAAGAAATATACGACACATTCTGCGCCATTTGCATTCCGTCGGTGGAGATATAGGCTCGGTATCGGGGTCCCAGGTACCTCAGGACCCATATCGTTAGAGCGCGGGGCCGGGGCGGCGGCGGGGCGGCGGCGGGGCGGCGGCGTGGCGGCGGCGATATGTCGACGGTTGCGAGCGTCATCTGCATACGAATGTTTCAACTCCGAGACTCTCGGTTACCCAATGCCCTCCAGTTTTTCTTCGATAGAATTTCGTGAAAAGGTGAGAGGTCGTTCCACTTTAAAGCATTCATTGTTTGTTTTAGTTTGTGAACGTTTTATCAAATTCTTTCAGGAAAACTTCTTTGTGTAAAGAGAAAATTCGGGACTTGAGTTTTGTGAAAATGCTCTTTTTTACTGTAATACTTCGTAAACAACTTTTGTAATGATGGCCCTTGACATTTGCAGTGGAGACGGACTGATGAACAAACAAATCTATTTGAGGGTAGGTAGGTAGACCTCCCACCTACGTAAATTAAAGTAAAATATTCTGAAACGGTAGCAGAAATTAACTTTAGTTGTCTAAACGTCTGATGTTTGTAAACTAACAAAGTGCTTATAAAATGTAATCGCGTTCCACCTGCGTCGTCGCGGCGTTTGGAGTTTAATACGTAGTAACTGCGCGGCATGAGTAGTTAGTGGAAACTATCTTAAGCCGATGTTAGTGCAGGCAGGGCAGGGCGCGACACATGCCGCCATGCTGCCAGTAACCTCGTTAGCGAGCTGTCTCCGCTCAGCGACGGCTATTACACCCGCTTAGCAGACAAATAGCTGCGCGATATTATCTAAATACACATTTACACTATCTAGGTACATAACGATCCATTGATTAAATAAATAAACGAATCCTTATGTTCCTGGAAGTAGTCTAGAGAGGTAACACAAGTTCTGAGAGCTTGTTACGTTTTCTACAAACACTATCATGTTTATACTGTTGTATGACATGTATTTTGTATTCATTACAGTAAATGTTAATAACTGAGTATCATTCGCAGACTGTTCGCAGTATAAATAAAAAATATATTTGCAAAATGAGATGGTCGACCCCTCCGTAAAGTAATCTAGGTCAGAAACTAGCCGACAGGCATTAGTAGCGAAATTGAATGGAAAGCAATAAGATATTGGTTGATGGAAGGGCGCGCTGGCTCGCTGCTCGCTGCTCGCTGCGGATCTTTCACCGGCTGACATAAAACAAATTGCTCTGAGACGAAACGCGTAAGCAATGGACGTTTGCTTTCTCCCTCATAACTTATTGACATTTCTTTGGGCCGTCGAGCAGAAAATAATTGTCTGAGGCTCGGGCAACTGTGTGACACCGACGTCTATTTATATCACGAAACAAAGATAATGTTACTGTTACTGGGAACAAACCATGTGTCACTACAATAATGCTAGACAACAACATAATTGGAACATAATCTAAGACATTAGGATGACTGCCCTAAGTTGTGAACGTTTAGTCTCTCCACTGTCGCACGTTCATTACATTTATCACAAAACTGTTTACATTAAAAGCCTAGTGAAGTAGTGATACTAACATCAGAGTAAAAGAGTGAGACATATTATATACGAATGTTCTACAATATAGTATGGAGGAGAGCTTGTAAACACGCGAATGTACACATACAAGACAACTTAATTACCTGAAGCGATTAATTTAATCAAGATCAAAGAAAAAAACACTTTCTTCAGAAGTTGCAGAATGTACTACCTTAGCTTACTTAGGTGAACCAGGTCGCACTTAAAATATGGAAATAATAGGGTCTCCTGGAATTTATGAAATATTCCGGCCCAAAAAAGAGACGACATTTGATTGGATAACACGGGGTACACGTAACGAAGGGCCGGCCGTGGCACAGCCGCCAATATTACGCGACGCGACTGAGGGCTCACTTCAGCTGCTCCCTCAGACGTCATTAATTCAATGGCACCGCTTCCCTCTCTAATGAGGATTATAATATTTGTCTGTCCGGGGCAGCGGGACCTCACTCCGGCAGATATACGTTATCAATTATTTAGTAGCCGGTATTTTTGGAAACAAAGCTAAACTTATTATCTCCGGATTATTTGGTTTATAAACAAAAATACCGAAGCTTTGTCTTGTGATTAACGACGCCACGTCGCGCAAATTACACCGCTTTTGATAATTACAAAGTTAATACATTTTATTTTCTTTCCTAACTTTTTAATGCTTTTTTGTGTTTAATTTCTTAATGGTAACGATAATTGAGTTTTTAAGGAAATTCATAAGAAAATCCTTTTATGAGCTTATTTTATGAAATTTTTACAGTTCTTTGAGTTTCAACGCGCTGCCAAATAACTCGCCAGTAGCGTTCCAGCGTAGAATATAAAATTTAGATTTTTAAAACATTAAATTGAAAAACTGAAACGTTACCTAATGTGCTGTAGTTAATGTGGGGTATTCAAAAGAATAAGTATTTACTCAGAAGTTAAGTTTGATTTAAATAAGTTGGCCCCAGCTTACAGCTACAACTTCCCTACAGAATGCAGCCGCAGCTACAGGTAGCTGAGTACAGCGCTGTGCTGTCGCTACAGTTCAGACGCTGCTGGTATTTATTCGAGTTGTCCAAACACGCCGCCCGCGCCCTCTAGTGGCGCCCGGCGAGCCGAGCCACGATGTCGTTATGTTTTTAATTACTTTTCTTGAGTGTATGCTTTCCTTGCACAATTTCTTCGACACAATGTTACATTGCTATGTCTTAAGAGAAGAAATGTTAAAATTAACAATACAGCGGATTCATATTTTTGTACCTAGGTATAATTAGTCAAATGAATGTTCCATGAAGGTACCCAATGTTAATTATATTGTTCCAGT